ATTACACCAAACAGCCCTAAGTCTGGATGAAGCAGTCTAACTAATTCCTGAAAGCCAGCTAAAGACAGAAGAATGGGACTCAACGTTTTCCCAGCAACAACGCAGAAGATAGATAAGAGGGAACAAAAAGAAAAGAAGAAAGAATTTTTTTGACAAAACAATTACCCATTACAACTATTATAGGGGGTGGGAGAGTGGGAGATAGGTTAGACACACAACACCCTAACAGTGTTCCCACTTATGGAAGAGAGTGTTACCACTCCGTCTGAGAACCAAAAGAAAGAAAGAAAAAAACACTGTAAAAAACAGAAATTTGACTGTTTAGTACCTAAATCTTAAGAGTTATTAACTGATCAAACACAATTTGATGGACCTATGATCAGCATATTCCGAAATTCACATTTAATATCCCATCAACAAAATCATCATGCATTTGCAAAGAGAAGCTTCAAGCCTGCCTAGTTCCGGAACTGAAAAAGTGAAGGTGGCCCAATCTGTTCAATTTGAGAACCAAGAGAATGCTGAAAGAAATTCTCAAACAATTTAAAACTCAAATGGAGCTGCAACCATAATTTGGTTCAAAGGAGTAATTTTTCTCCAAAACAAGTCTAAAATTTATTCTTTTTAATTTCTAATTTTCTCAGAAACCAAACAGAAATTGAAACTCCAGCCCCACAACAAAAAAAAGGACAACGATAAAAAAGCCCATCTTTTTCAAAGAGAAACAAAATGAAACCCGACTAAGAGCACAGATTAAATATCACATGCATGGAGAAATTGAGGGAAACAGAGTACGGACCCGCTCGAGAATGGCGAAAAGGACTCAACTTCTGTTACAAGAAGAACAAAGACCTCAGCTTCTTTGAGTTTCCGGCTTAACAGAGCCAGAAATGGAGGTTTTGGTTTGGTTTCCCGATGGTCAGAGTGGGAATTTATAAATGCACAGATTCGGTGGGCATTGGGCTGTCAGGCCTCAGGCGTCAGCATTTGGAACTTTCCCTTCATTTCTTCTATCTACTCGTTCGTTTCTTTTCCTTTTGGTTTAAAGACCATTTTGGTCCCTCAATTTTTTACTTTAATATCAAAATTATCTTTCAACTTTAAAAAATATCAAAATTATTCTTAAACTTTCATTTTTAGTACTAAAATTGTCCTTTTGTCAGTTAAATGGACAAGTGTTACGTTAACTTACCAGCAAATCAATTCTTTTTTTCTTAACTAATGACATGAAAAAAAACACATAGTTGGTCATTTTTTTTTATGAGTTGACATTTTTATTTAATTTAAAAATAATGATTTTTTTTCCATCCAGGTCATTTCTTCTTCCTCTTTCATTTTCTCTCTCTTTTACCTTTCCTTTTCCCTTACCTTTACAAACCCAAACCTAGATTTGGGTTCTTGTACTGTAGCGTTTACCTTTTCAATTATTGGACCATTGGAAGCAGAGGATGAAGACAACAGAGGAGCGCAAACACTCTTGATGGTGACTCTATGTTTCTTGTATTGTAGCGTTTTGTTTCTCGTCGCCATGGGATTACAATCAAGAAGTAAAGCTCAAAAAAATTCAACTCAGTTGGTCAAAGAAGCTTCAATGAGGATGGAGATGGTTTCAGATGAAAACGAAATTCAACGGAATTTGGGAATTTTGATGGTTTAGATGAGCTTCAACCTCATCTTCTTCCCCCTTTCCTTCTCCCTGCTCACCCTTCTTCTTTCTTCTTCTTATTCTCTCTCTCTTCTCTCCTTTCTCCTTCCTCTCTTAAACCAAGATCTAGGTTTTTCTTAGTTGTGTCATCTTCATTTTCTATACAAATTTGTGAAAATTTTCATCTTTTGTATCAGGTTGGTATTGTTGTAGGTCCTTCCCTGTTATCCCAAATCAACAAAGTCAAGGAATTCCTCCTTCAGGCTTCTTTCGTAAAGTACTATGAATTCTTCTCCCTCATGTGCTGCAAATTCAACCGTTAACTAGCTAATCAATCTCTTCAACTCCAAACGGCTAGCCCTTAATGACCTGGTAGCGCTTTTCGACGCACACACGATCGAGCTCACCCACTGCAAACACTTCTTGAACTAGCTTTATGATTACTGAGGCACCAAGAAGCCGGACCCGACCATCGACCCAAGACTCCTTAAGGCTCTGAGAATGTCTTGCTCGCACTTTGGTGGCAATGCCGACATCGTTGCTCCATTTGAAGTCACCACTCCATTCCTCCTCAATCATGCCTATTTTGCGAACTTGGAGGCTCACCTGGGATTGCTAGCCTTAGCTCAAGCTCTATTTTTAGACCCCCAAACAAAGCTCTTGGTCTAAGCTCTGGGCAAGGATAAGCATGTTTGAGAAATAGGGGGTTAGAAAAGAGATCATTAAATCATTGGCTTCAAGGCGTACTATAAATGCCACTTTCCTTTAGACTAATTTCGCCCCCACTAGATTTGGTATGCAAAAGGGGTAACCATAAATGACCAAAGGATACAATGAAGCGCCTTGTTGATCTAGCCTTTGCAATAGCAAGATCAACCATTGAAACATCCTTTGGAAAGTGACACAACAATAGTTTTTGTATAAGGATTTCTCGAGCAATCGCAATAAAAAAATGAGCTGTTTTATTTAGATATTTTTGGGTTCAAAGACTCCTCAAAAGAAGAAAAGATAACTTCATATTTATAGGGTAAGATGTTTGTTGGAACAAACACTTTTTTTCAAGATGTCTATTGGGAACAGACATTTCTTTTCAATTTTTATCGGTTGGAAACTCTTCCAAAAACCATTTGATTTGATTTGAATTCCAACTCTCGTGTTTTCTTGCCTTCCAAAGTTATCCACTCTCTTTAAAAACTTATCAGAATTTTATTTCTTATTTCTAACGTAAATGGTTTAAACCTGATAAATGTGGTTTAAATCAAAATCGTAATTTTTCAAATTTTGGTTTTACGTAAATGGTTTGAACCATAATTATATGGTTCGAACCAAAGTTATACTTTCTCAAATGCATTCTATGCAATTATTTCGAACCAACTTTTTGTGATTCAAACCCAAATCTTGGAAATATTTTGAAAATTCTTTAACATTCCCCCACCATTTTCAAAATAGAACAGCCCACCAATTGTTTTGGAAATCTTATGCATACATAAAGGTATCTTATGATTTGAACCTTTCACTTAGTGAACATGTGTTGGCAAATTAGTCAGAATTGCATGTAGACTAATGCTTTGAACCAA